AGTAGAGTAAAACAGCTGTCAAGATGATATTGTTAAGTACGTATGAGGTGAGAAGGGCACAATGGTACTGTCTGTTTTAGAGCACCTAATGCTTAAACTAGATAATCCAGGCTAAGTAGTTAGAAAAGTATTTGACTATAATTATGCAACGAAAGTTATGAATATTATCATCTTCATCAAAGTCTGAGGAAATGCACTCAGTTTCCTTTTTTTTACTTTAAAATGTACTCAACAGGTTCTTTTCTAAGTTCAATGGTGGGATCTTCAGGATACCAAGTTTTTGCCCTGTTTTCTAACATACTTTTGGGCTCTGTCATTTCATATATTGATCTAATGAACCACATGACATCATTGTTTAAAAGAAGCTAAATGAATATTTTAAATGTTAAAGATAACAATGTACAACAAGCCAAATGTCTGTGGCAAGGATCCCGGAGATAAAATGATATAACTTTCAGTCGGCTGTCTGACTAAGCATCTGACAGCTGATCTTTGGGTTTGTAAAATTTAATCTGGCACAGGGTTGAAATATGTCCCTCTTCCTGGGACTCTGTTGTTATTTTCTAGTAGGTGAGATAAATACTAATGATGGAAAAACTCAGGCTCTTGGGTAGATAAGTACCCAAACATGCGGTCACTTTGTAAAATGTCTCCAGAGCTCTCCTCCTTGACAGGATCATGGCAAAGGAATGGCATTTCTGGAACCTACTGTTATCATTCAAAGAAGCCTATCTCTCACTACCTTTCAGGGTTTGATGTGAGGACTCAGTGAGGCTCTGGGAAACAAGCTTAAATTCCTATCAAGGAGTCTGTTAATCTGGCCTGGTTTCTGTAGTCATATATATCCTAATAGGACAGCCACAGATTTATCTCTAAACACAATGTTGCTGGGTATCCCCAGAGCGACTTGCTAGCACACCCCACTCTAAAACACCCTTCTCTGAGTTGTGCCATGCTTCTCATTTTAAAGAACTCAACAGATACTCGCATTTGATTTTTTTAGTGTAAAACAAATATATCAGAGATGCTATTTCTACTATGAAAAGCAATCATTTCTTTTAAACGGTTGGTAGCAATTAGTTTTGCAATGGTGTTCTAGAGACCTATGGCCTGAAAGGAGGGTGCCACTATAGAGCCTCTAATTACAATGCACAAGGAATCTGACAGTGAGATTAAAATAGTGCACTTAACCGAGCAACTGCTATGTTTAAACCACTGATAAAATCTACTTTGGTAGCGCTCTCTGCAGGACCTGAGTACAATGAAGTACTGTGCTTCTGGAGAAGGCCATTGGGGGCCCCACCTCTGAGAGTATCACAGCTGCACACAGGGACAGGGGCTGCAATGCTGAGGCTTGTCCCTAGGGAGGCGCCTCAGACCCATTTAGAATCCACAGCATTCCTTCCCGGAGCAACTCCAGCCCTGTTCCCATTTGCTGCCTTATCACTGAAATAGGATCATAAAAACTTAAGACACTGGCCCTAATCCTGGTCTCCTAATGTGGCTAAGAACCAAAAGTCTGGCAGGCAAACTAAAGACAACACAGCTGTGCGTTTGAATTTGCTTTTAAAGACACTGCTTTTGGTCCCCACTGGAGTTTTCATCTGTCAAATTCTTCCAGTTCTAGTAATCTATGTATATTCACTGAGTCAACTGTGCAAAGGGCTAAATTACTCAGGCTACTGGTTGGTTACCTAGGACAGTACTATTTTCTTACCACTGGTTACTTAAATAATGACAAACACCTATAACGGGGTCTTGACAGAAAATGACAGTTCAGTAAATATTTGTTGGCTAAATGAATGGACCAATCAACCAATCAACTGATGAAAACACTGATGAATTTGCAAATGTTTATAAATATTTGTATATCTGAACTAGAATGAAGTTTTTCCAAGGTAAGTTCCAATAAATTATAACCATGTGAAGAGAGAAGTGGTATCATAATCTTTCGTTATAGTTTCTTTCTTTCTTTCTTTCTTTTTTTTGTACTAGGGATTGAACTCCGGTCCTTGCGCTTGCAAGGCAGGCCACCAAACCGCTGAGCTAAATCCCCAGCCCTCGTTATAACTTCTTAACAAGGCTAAATGAATGAATATCTGATAAAAATTCACTAATCAAATCAAATTATATCAGTTATACAAAATTAATCTTTACAGCTTTATCCATATCCCATATCTCCCTTGAAAAAAGTAAATATTAAAGATAAAAGAACCAAAATGAAAAGCTTATTTAAAAATAACATACATTTTCTGGGCAAAATATTTGGCTTTCCTGTAGATTACTGAGTTTTTTTTCTAGAAAAGTGATGGTCTACAGACCCAGCCACCACCCTCTTGCACTATGACTCTTATCTGGTGTTACCCTTTGGCTTAGATTCTTTGCTAAACACATGCTAGGATGAAAAGTCTTGTTCCGGAAACATCAACAACAAAAACCAGTCTTCTGCCCCATTGACAGGAAGGGTAAAGAGGGTTCTCTGAGAGAGCCAAACCCTGATTCAACTGACCGTTGGCCTTCAGCATCCCCTTTCTTCAGTGATTCAGAGCTTCTCTTCTCTTCATGCCATTATTAGTTACAACAGTTCTAGTACTGGAAACTGGTATATCTTTATGACAGCAAGCTCTGCCACTCCTTTACTGTGTCCTTGGAGACTGCGTGTCCATTTTAAGTAGGAAACTCTAAAGCCTTTCTAGCATCGGGAGGCTTCAAGGAGAAACTCCCCTCTGAGCACACAAAGTGATGAACTCTCCGGGGCTCCCTGTCCATCTGCAGGTGTAGGCCTGTCTTGTGGCCAGGCGGCCTATACTGCTTTGCTGGAAGGTGACAACGGCTAAGCAATGTGGCAGTTATGAATGTTCCCAAATGCCTGGACATTTTAAGTATCCAATTTTCTATTTGGTAAGCAATAAGCATTTCCTCACCAAATTTGGTGGAATTATATATGTGAAAGTCTTAATAATAGAGAAGAAAACAATAGACAAATGGAGCAGAATACTAAAGATTCTTCTGGTAGAGGTTACTGCCACATTCCCTGGAGTTTGGGGCAAAGCCATCAGGGTGGCAGAAATCATCGTTCTGGAAACTCTCCTCACGCCAGACATCAAGGGAGGAATGAAGACTTCTTCCTGCACTTGCAGTCCAGGAGTGGGCTGCCTTGTGTTCGACTGGGAAGTGAAGCAAATGACAAAGCAAGTTTTCTCGGTGCAAATAAATTTCAAACAGAGATAAGTTCCTTATTATCTTATTATCTTTTCCAAAAATGCAACCCAGAATTTCAACTTTTCTATATGGAAGAGTTTGCTCATCTCACAGCTGATCTACCGTTTTCTTGCAAGTTTCAGGTTACTATGGCTACACAGTCTTTCCACTCTTCCCAGTGACACAAACTGTGGGGAAATATCCCAGTTACTGAGGGCAGGGAACTTTAAAGGTACAATGCATTCCCACCCACTAGAGAAAAGGCTTCCAGTTAAAAACGACAAGGAGCCAACAGAAGTGTGTGGGGGGTAATTTTAGGTGAATGACTTGAGATTGGGCAATGGAGGTCAAAATTAGCCAAATTTCTCTTGATGGCCCACCATTCTAGAGATTATTTTAACTACAAATATATTAACAAGGCCCTATCTTGTCCCATTTTAAATGTGGCATTAGAGTGCTAAGGAATAGAGAAACAAAATTAAAAGTGAAGGAAGATTTTTTGGAGAACCAATACATAATGATAGATTAATCTGAACCGCATCTCCATGACTTTCAGTAGTGAGTCTGTCTGTCTATCTCTCTCTCTTTTTCTCTCCCTCTGGAAGACAAAGGAAAAACTCAAAGATAAGTTCTTTAAAAGGCTGTCATTTGCTATCAAGTGACCAAGAAACTTACAAACAGAACTTGTTATTAAATGCTCTATGTAAATTGATTGCTATTCCCACTGGCCATAGAGGTAAACTCAGCTTCTGAGAGGTTTCCTCCAGATGCGGGAATATTGCACGGAGTATGACCCCATTCTTTGAACACCACCGCTGACCTACCAGGAAGCTAGATGAAGAGAAACTCGCGTTCTAAGACACTCAGTCAAAGGACAGTGCGACTGCGTGCACAGCTCTTTGGATTAATCAATCTCAGGAGAGAAACAGACAAGTTTCTATTGATAAAACTAGCCAGTCCTGGGGGGTCTGGTCTAACCACAACGCTTTCTGTGGCTTCTCTTCTCAGTGTTGCTTTGTCTGGCCTATTTTTGCAGAAACGCTTCTGCTCTGCTCAGCAGCGAGTACAGAGGACTCCCGGGCTCCACATACACAGGGAAGCGACGAAGCCCCTTGTGCGGAGCGGCTCTCAGTTTGCGCAGGGACTCACCAGTTGCACAGAAACAACAAAAATTATTTGAAGCCTAATGCCTTATATTTAGCCTCAAACCAGAGAACTTTATTTCCACGTTTTCATTTTTAAAGCTAAAATGTTATTGAAAACACAATTTCCTCAACTAGCTGCTTCGGAACAATATACTGTATTATGAGGCTCTATACATTTTAAATGACTTTGAAATCCTGACAGGACCAAGTCCCCCGAATCTTCCTTTGAGTTCTGAAACCGGAATTGTTTTCTTCCTCTTGCGGGCTTTCCTGCGCTGAGATGGGGCTGGACAGGAGGAGTTTAGGAAAGTGCCTGGGACGCAGGGTGCTGAACTGAGAGGCCCGGACTGCAGGGGGCGCTGTCACAGAGGCGCTCGCTTCGGCCTCCACGGTCCCTGGTACGGCGGACCGCTTGGGCCAGGCCGGACCCGAGCAGCAGGAAGGAGGGCTGTGCAATGGGCCTCCTCGGAACATGCTATGAACAAAAAGGTGCGGCGAGAACCACGTCCCTGTGCATTCTTAGTCACAATGTGGCCGGAAGAACTCGTTTAATTCCTCCCTTTGGTATTAAATAACAGTTTAAAAAAGCTTTTCAGAAACAAAGCAAACGCATGGCGGGGCTGGAAATGTCAGCCATCCCAGGGTAGCTGTCCACGGAAATCAGTTTCACCCCTAGTCATAAATAAATAATCTCTTTCCTGGTCTGACTTCCACGCCAGGATCAATATCTCTTAACATCTTACTTATTTTATTACTGCTTTTGGTTTTCTGGGACTGATTGAAAGTTGCTTAGAGGAAATCTTTGGTTTTGCTTAAGTGTCCATGACATTTAATCATGACTTTCCTTGCAGTTTAATTCCAACCAGTCAATCAGTTAATCCACTTCGATTGATTCTGGGCTCTCGGTTATTGGCTTGCACTCATTGGGCATCCGCTGGTGTCGGCTCAGCTGGGTGGCCTGCGTGAAGCTCCTCTCACACCTCTCGCACCTGGTGGAGGCAAGAGAGAAAATTGAGACCAGGAAGCGGGGCCTGAGGGTGATGGGCTTCCTCTCATCCTGCCTAATCAGAACAGACACTCCAAAGTGGCTTCAGATTTTACCGGCTCAAGAGGTTTAATTGGTGGCTCCTTCCAAGGCCTGGATGCCTGGGATGGGACAAAGCCCGTCTGATGCAGAACAGAGGGATCTGTCAATAGGCAGGGGGGGAGGTGATTTCTCCAGAGAGCCCTGTCCTGCTGTAGCTCTGATCACTGTCAGTTCAAATAGATAAGGAACAAAAAGAGATTTTTAGGAGCGAGCCATCAAAGAAGCAGCTTGTCTGCAGTTTTCTGCTCCGTAACCCCAAAGAGAAATTGATGACAAATAGAATTTCACCTGCTGCTAATTTTTTAAAAAACGGAATTCTACTCCCCTCAGCACAACAGCCACAGAACAATCATCTTGGAATCTGGGGAAGAGTGAGAGGGAGCAACGCATTAGCCTGTAGTGGCTGTGAGAGGTGGTGTGGGTGGCTGACGTTTTGCAAAAGCTCGTTTCAATGTCACAGACCAACTAAACACAAGGCTAACACAATCTGCAGAAGGAGGGTTTGTGTCAGGGTGTGGGCACTCAGAAAAACTGGGAATTGGTGCATGCCTGTGTGGTTAAAGGGGTTCACCCCTATCAAAAGTGCAGTAAAAACATGGTGCATGTGTCTGAGGAGAGAAAACTGGCTTTTCACTTCAAGACTATCTCCTTTACTTAATTCAAAAGAGAAGGAAAGAAAGGCTGGAAGGCTACAAGGCAGGAAGCAAGGAAAGAAAGAAAGTGAAAAAGGGAGGGAGGCTGGTTGCCTGCCACTGAGTCCAGCCCCATCTCCCCTGACCCTTTCTGATGAGTTTATACCTACTCGATCTATGAAAACAGCACATCCAATCTGCCGGGGGCTCTGGCTTTGTTGTGGTTGCTGTTGTTCCTGGCTGACTGTCCTGGCTGTACATACACCACAAATGAACTGTGACATCAAGCTGGGCACAATGGCTTCACTGTCCCCACTGTGCTCACCGGGCTGCCTGGAGCCCTTGTCCAGCATCTGTCAGGCCAGTGATCACCTCAACCATACCCTCAAGTCCTCGAAGGAAAAGATCCCACAGCTGCAGATAGCTGTTTCTTTTAAATATAACACCTCTACTTCTCATGTCCCTAAACGGCCAGGGCTGTGACCAGGCCACAAGAGAAACTCTCCGCTGCCCTACACAGATGAAGAAGCCAGGGCCCTGCCCTCTGGCAAGCAGGACTCTTTCTCTTCCCTATAAACCACAGAAGTGCCCTGCCACAAACACAGTCACCTACAGAAACACAGCTCGCTGCTGGAAGGGGCTACTGCATACCTACAGATGTGAGGACGCTGGAGCTCGGCTACATGCAGACTTTCTGGGCTTCTACGCCGGCTCAAGGGTGTCAAGGGGAGAGGCTGAATTTCCGTGATTGTCTTTCACAGAATATTTTTAAGCAGCCTGTTCTACTGTTAAAAACTGCACTGTGATCTTGACAAATGTATGATGTCAGCTTTAATGTATCAGACCTATCAGCTCAATGAAAATAACTCAGAAGTATTGATCACCTAATGATTTCTGGTGTATTCATTACCGTCCACGGGCAGCTCCTCCCCTCTCCACGCTCCCGGACTGCTGACGACACGTTAGCGAACTGCTGATTGTTTATTAGAAAACTGATTAGTTTACTGGATTAGTGTGTCAAAATATACTACCTTTCACGACTTGACAAACTTTCAAATTATTATATATATATTTTTTTGAAGCTCTAGAATCCATTTCAAAGAGAGCAAAGCAGTTTAAATGTGCAAGGAACAACAGTTTACCTGGGTCGTGCCTTTCTAATCTTGAGTATTAGAATACGAAGAATTCCTAAGTGGGACACTTAATACTTCAGGTAAGGCAAAAGAGTGTGTCTCTGTGTAACATTTAAATATCCACAATGGAGGGAGACGTTAAGAGGAGAATTATAGCTTTCTCAAGTATCTGCCTAAATGTCTCACAGAAACTGGATAGTATTTATATGCACAAGGCAGTTTGTTATAATAGGAAATTTTTCTGAGATGTGAGATAAATTTAAAAAAAATTATCAGATTTTTCTGGTAGGAAAATCATTTCTGAAAAATTATCTTTAGTGCTGTCTTCTCATTAAGTCTAAGAAAAATCACATGCGGATGTATAGACATTTACCTGAATTTAGATCCCATTCCCAGATTTCCCCCTTCTTGAGGAAAATGGAATACTAGAAATACTGTCCATCGGGTTTGGGAGTTATATGTGGTTTGGGAATTATAAGAATATAAGTTGATTATTTGAGGAGATAAAGACGGCTAGATATTACTTTTTTTAAATAAGAGAAGGGCCTTGGTTTTATGTTCATAATCTTGTATTTTAGAGAGGTCTCTTCCACAGAATATTTTTATAGCTTCATGGAACTAATTCAGTTCAAGAACCGTAGTTCTGGGAGGTCAAAGTTGGACCCTGGTGAATTTCTGCCTCTATCCCTGAATCACAGCCTCAGAAAAGTGCCAGGGCACAGGCATCTCTAAATCCGGGCTCCAGGTATTATAGCAAGATAAGAAGGGGAGAGAGACGCCAGGAATAAGGCAGGTGGAAGGAAAAGCTCTTGCACAAGGGGGTCTTCTTCAGGGCCTTCCCTTAGGTGTTGATGTCACCCCAAGGGGACACTGCAGGAACGTGCAAGTGGAAAGTCTTCCAAGTGTCTCCGCAAAGAGGAAATTCCCAACTTTCTACTTGTGTGAGAGTCTTTAATTAGATTTGATTTCCTTTTCGGTTTCAGATCCTCCTTTACTCTGGGATGGTCGACTGGATGATGCGCACAGGGAGCTTAACACACAGTGTAAAGCTCTGCTACCCAGAAAACCTGTGAGAAGCCTGCGCATCTGCAGCATAGCACAGAACACTTCTCGAATTGGACCAAATTGTGCAGGGCTTCGTATCTGTGACACACTTGATGCATACTTACTGGTTCTGGGTTTGCTTTGACTTTGTCTAGATCTTGCTCAAATATCTGAAGTCCTTCAGAATTTCCTTTGATTTCTTTACGTAACCAAACTGGCTTTACTTGAGGCACAAACACAGTGACAAATACTTCTCTTTGCTTCTAACGAGGATGAAAAAGCCACCTGAGAAAAAGTCCTGGCCCACACACAGCTTCTCAGGCTCAGAAGCCACACAGAAAGCAGCTCAGCCAAGTCCTCCAGGCAGAGAACAGTGCTCCGCTGGAAACCTTGAGGGATTAGTAACAGACACGGAGAGGAGTCCTGGGATTGCCAACTGCCCTCCTTCCAGCCCTCCCTTTCCGCTTGGTCTTTGCCAATACGTGAAATGATGTCTTGCTTTTAGCTCTTTGTTCTCCATGACTTCCAGTCCCACAAAACAAACTTCAGTTTGCTCTTCAAAACTTCAGCCAAGACCTTCACTCTGATCTTTGCTTTTTTTCCAGTTTTTCTACGTGTTCCTTTATTGTAGAAAGTTTAAGCCCACAGCCTAGGTCAGCTGTCAACAGGCCCCTGATCTACCTAGAGCTTGGGAGACAGAGCCTCTCAGTGGGATTTCAACTAATCAGATTGTGAAGCAGCAAAGCCTGGAATTAATTCTGACTGCTCAGTGCCAGATCTTCTCCAGCTTTCTTTGGATGCCAGTGATCTTGATCTGCCTCCAACACCCACTTCTCAGCAGAAGACTATCGGGCTGGGAAGGGCTTTCCCGCTAGGTCGCAGGCTCTGTCTCAGCCCACCCGAGAATCCTGGGGCCTCCTGAGCTGTGGAAGGCAGGGAACAGCACCCGGAGGACCAAGCCATGGGCCATCTGTGGGAGGCTGCCCTAGGTGTACCGCTAAGGCTCTGCGTCTTTATGATTCTTCTGCCCCGCAGCATTGTTTAAGCCAATACCCATTAGTTGAAGTAGTAAAAGTAACTGTTGTGATGAAACCCTTTTTATTGACTGGTATGCAACCAAAGTGGGTTTTTTGAATGTTTGTTTTATAAGCTTGTAAAAGGCAATCTTTATAATATTTACAAATGTCCATGGGTTAGATAGCCATGAGCTGTGGTTGGAAGATTCCCAAACTCCCTTGGGATAGTTCAGTCTTGAAAGACCTGGCTGTATATACTAAAGGATTTAACTTTCCATTTCCTAGAAGATGTTTAAATTGTGCACTTTCAAAATAAGCACATGGTCAGCTCTCCCCTGAAATACATACTTTACAAATTAAAAAATGAAAAATTACAACATGTGGCTATCTTAAGTAGGACAACATGCACAGAGAATCTAATCCATCCATCCTGGTTGCCTCTGTTTTGTTTGTTTTCCCCAGATGAAATTAGGTTTAGTTACCGATAAAAAAAAAAAGCTGTGAGAAAAGGGGAAAGAGGCAACCACTAAAGCCCTGCAAATATTAATCTGATGGGTTAAAAGTAAGTTAAGATGGCAATTTTATTGGAAACATGACAAAAACAGAATGTTAAAGAAAAAAATTGAGTGGAGCCAACGAGGTTACACATAAGTAACACCTTAACATTAATAGAAATCTATTTCCCATTTTGACCCTGAAACCTCTTCAATTAATTACTAAAATCTATTTACACAGCAACAAGATAAAAATCAATCTCATTCTTGGCACTATATCCATTGGCTGCCCTCTTAATGTAAGGGACACACACTTCTGTTTTTGAAAGGTTCTTGTACTCAAAGGCACAAGAAATATGCCACTGGGAACTTCTACCTCCCGAGCAGGGATGGAAAACAGAACTTGTGAACACTTTGGGCACAGGGACTGGGGCTGAACACAGAGTCCATGAGGCAGAACACAAGCACTGGATAAGAAACTCCTAAGACCCAGGAAAGGGTGACCTCTCAGGGTAGACAGAAAACTGCCCTTTTGGAGTACAGCAGCCCCAGGGGCACTGTTTGGCTACTATACTGCAGGCCTAACTTTAGACCCCATCCTGTCCCCTTACCCAGATGCTCTTATGCGGTGAACAAGTTGTGCCCATGTACACAGATAAAAACTATACTGTTTTATTATTAAAATCAATTAAATCATGTGGAGAGTAGTTAAAAATGAAAACAGAGGTAACTAACTCTTGGGGAGGTGAGCAGAAATGATAACCTTGCATGACCTCCTTCCACTGCTAACAGGGCCCAGATCCTCAGGGCTCTGCCAGCCTGGGCTGCACCTGTCCTCGAGAGAGGAGGGGAAGACCTCTTGGCCGGCCTGAGCAACTGCCTGAATTCTTTCATCTCTTTCTCGATCGCGTCCCACAGGAGGCCTTTTAAATTTTCCTCCTCAAAGCCAGTATGAAGAGATGAAGAGATATGTAAGGTTAAAGGGAAAAGAGTTCATCGCACCGAGCCTAAAAACTGCTCGAGTCCACAAGCTTGTTGTGCACCGGTTCACCCTCCCAGGCCCTGCCACACACTGCTCTGAGTGCCAGAAATACCTCCTCCTTGTTTATCTAGAAGCTCCTACTTATTCTTCAAAACACATCTCAAACATCACCCCTCATAAAGCGCTGATTACTTCTCTGCTACTCTCAAACACAAAAATATAGATGTTTTATTGTTGCACTTTTCACTTTATGTTGCAATTGTTATTTATTAATTGGGCTCTGGTCATTAACTCTGAGGTCATCACCTTGGTATCTCTTGTGCCTAGCAGGCTGTCCAGGGCAAAAGCAGTTAAAAAAAAAAAAAAATATATATATAT